TGCTGTTGTTGTTGTTGCTGTTGTTGTTGTTGTTGCTGTTGCTGCTGTTGTTGTTGTTCACGACGCGCAGCAGCAGCAGCTTGCGCCATGTGCTGTTGTACTGCCACGTGCGCTTCTAAATACGCGGTCTTTTGCGCTTCCGTCATCTTATCCATATTCACAGTGCCATCCTGTTAAATAAAATAATATTCATATTTAAGTATATTTCTCGTACGAGTTACTTGCAGTTTTATTTCTATCACAGCTTTTTTCATAACCTTCGTAGTTAACCAACACATTTAGAAGGAAATTTGCATTTTGTTTGACTATTTTTAGATCGTATTCTGGTAACATGGGGAGCAGCCTTCAATGGGTGTCTTCTATGCGGTCGGAGCCTCCCTAATGTCGCGCAAGGGTGGCCGCCCCCGCGGTGCATTCACCCCAGAGCGAACCCGGCTCCCCAGTTCCGCCGACTCTCATTCCGTAACACGTAGTCAGAACACCCTATGCTTAATTGCCTAAATTCGACACAGGGAAGGTTCAATAACCTCGCGAATCTCACGGCAACAATGTTATAGGAGGGTTTAGTTATTAGAGGGTCTTAGAATGTACAAGTAAGATGGAGAAATCTTAAATCTGTAAGAGAAATACTAATGCTCTTACCATACAAATCTTAAACGGAGCTTCGAATAAATGTTGCGACTTTGAAGCGCTTGTTAAGGATTTTTGAAAAATAGCGAATATTGAAACATTTTTGAGCATCGGCTTGGTCAATACTATTTTGATCGATAAATTTTGAATAATTAATACCAAAAACAGTGTGGTGACACATATTTATGTTGAAAGAAACAAACCTGAAAGTCAATGACAATGATCCGCGGCGAACAACGAGTGACACATGTTTAACTAAACAATGTTTTTTGGGTTCTAATGTAACAAGTTTAAGTAAAATAACTTTGAAATTTTTAGCATTGGTAGATTTCTATGATTAGATTACTTTTTAATTTTTCATACATTTAGTTGAAAATGCATGTCACGTTACAAAGGTGACCTATTATATGAATTATTATCTTGTAAATTCCTTATCACATTGTTTCTAGGACGATACTGATAAAATTAGGAATAAAAGGAAAATTTTAAATTAACACAAATTACAACTGTATACAGAAGTCTCCGATATGAAGAGGACTAAATGAAATTATTCTATTTCCTGTAGTAGTACGAGGTGTTTTGTCTAGTTATCGATTCGTCAATCGCATTGTTTAAACTATCGTCCCCTCACTCTGATAAGGGTTAGGCAGGGGCCCAGTCGTGCTTATCACACTGATTAAAAGCATTTGCTTCTAAACTAGGGATTGCGTGCCGAGTTTTGGGGTTACGCAAAATAGGGTAAACATGAATGACTTCATATTTTAACAACAACATAGATTTATACAGCTTTGGTAACTATTATAAAATGTTTTTTTCATCGAGTAAAAGTTTTTAATGGTAATTAAGGCTAAGGATTTATTTTATTCGAAAGCTTGAAAGTTATGTAAAAAGTTTCTTGAAGGCCCGGGCCTTGGGTAACTATTACTGTGGTATAAAGGCAAAGTAAATTTAATCAAATACTTAATTACTTTAATAAGTTATCCCAACCCAATCATTTGAAAACATACTATAGCAAATATTTAAATAATAAAATTAATTGCGTTCAATAATACTATCATTTTAATATAACATTTTTAACAGAAACAAAGTTCATATTGTGACTTACTTGTTTCACAACTTTTTTGCATCCAACATATTTTAATTTTCCTTAAATCTGTTAATCCACTTTTTACGAAATTAAGTGCACAACACGTTATTGTTACTTGAATGTTAAAAATAATAGATTCCTGTTGGTAAGGGAAATGATCTTGAAATTTAAGGCGGGCGCCCTCCGCGCTTCCTATGTACCGAGTGCAGCCTCCGGCCCCGAGAGTCGTGCATCGATCGCACTTTCCTCTTCACATTGCACCTGAACTTCAGACGCACTCCGTAAGGGCCGCCCTTCGAACGGAAGACGTCTGGCCGTGTGGCGCGACACTAAAATCGATCGCTGCTTCGATGTTTGCTTGCATGCGTTTAGTTTCACTTTTTATAGAAAATGCATGTTTTCTGATGAAATAATTTTGTTCAACTACTTACTGTACTCATTAGTATTACTAATTGAATAGAATTAATGCCTTTTACGCAAGTTTTAAAAGCTTTTTTGATGTCTCCCAATTTTAATCATATCGATTTATTTTATTACTACATTTATACGTATAACTAGTAGTTTAACAAAAGATTTGTTTTCTTTTATTATACAAAAATATCAAAATACCAAAATAAGATTAAAGTGATTCAAAGGAAAGGTAAGGATGACTTTATGATTACTATAGACGTGAGGTGTGGGTGGTTTGTGTAACGAGTAATATG